CATACTTACGTCATACCGGTAAACCCTGGCGGTCGTCGCGGTTCGACCAATTTTCGTGGTGTCCATCACTATATATCATGTTAGATTTGCATAGGCGAGCAGGCTCCATCGTTGATATGTGCCAAACGTATATGGATTTTTTGTGATTCATGCGTGCTCCAGTTTTAAAACGTCAAAATTTAAACATGAAAATATCAAGAAATATTTTTTTATACATATACACCTATTTTTAAAAATGATTGTGATGGCCAGTCTGTTCAACCTCAAAATTCAAAATCCGTTTGGAATTAACCTTCATTCATTCACCACCGGATGCGCTAACGTAAAATAAACGTGACCACCCCTACACAGCTCTCAAATGATAATGACAGGGTGTGACATAAGCAAAAATAAACCAACTCATGTGCGTGCTATTCAGTGACACAATAAACGCCCTGTGACCACTGACCAGCAGTGGATGCTAGCTTGATGTTCTAAACGCTTTTGTTTATAAATAAACCACAGCAGCTACCGGGGCTCATTAAAATTATCAATTAATCTCATGTGTTTAGTAATCATCTCATCAGCCCTGAAGGGAGGATAAGATCAAGTCGTTAGGGACTCTTTGAGGTGTGGAACAACCGACCAAGCATAATGCTCGCTTCAGGATTCATACTGCCCGTCCTCGGAAACGGTTTTCTAGAATCAGCTACAACAATATTCTCCGACAAGCAGCTGAAACCATACGTTCCCTACTTGACCCATACTGGGAATGCCCTGGGACTGGCCTGACCCGGCCCATCCGTCCATTGAGCCGTTTGGGGCTCTTTGGTCATTTTATGCTGCCTGAGACGGCCGCCCCGGGGTCAGGCTCGCCAAGATAGGCGTTGTTCAGTAGATAAAGGGGCGCTGGTCGGCAGCTAAAGCGACAGGGAGCGGCTGGTTAAGTGGCGCTATCTTGGTCAGATGGGGGCCGCCTCACGGCGAGCTCGAGGGGGGTCAGAGTACCCCCCCCCCCCCGAGGCCACCAGTCCACCTGGGTGTGTGTGAGAGGTGACTCTCATGTCGTCTGAATTCATAATGAGAAAACTTCTGAGCTCGCCGATACAGCGTCGCGACCTCTTAATGCGGCATGAGCGAACGGCGGTGTCATTCATTGTAAATTGACCTGATAAAACCAGTTTCTGACGCTTGTAAACCAGAGGTAATGGTGGCGTGGTGAACCCGTTAGCTGACCCTCTGAACATCGCCACGAAACTGAATAATTCATGGCGTCCTCAGGTATCGAGGCGCCTCTTCTATCTACCGGTCGTCGCTCCCGAGAACCCTCACCCTTCCGTTCACTGACTGCCGAGTCTCCTCTGAGACTACGACTGTTGCCGTGCGTGCTTGGCGCACCAGCCCCCATGTACCGCCGGCTCCCGGCCCTCGGCAATTTTCCACTCAGTCTGCATCAGCGCTCCAGTTATGCAATCCGGGCCGAGGGCGACGGAGCCGCTCCGGCTCTTCGCCGTGGAGGCCGCACCAATTATGTCCAATTGCTGTCCGAATGGTACGTTTAGCTGCTTCTTGACTGAGGATAGAACAGGCGAGGCGTCGGCGTAGGTGGTCGGAGGATCCTCTTCGCCCTCTAGCGTGTAGCTTCCACCGCCACCACACTGTCGCTACCACCGCAGCCGGCGGCATCCTCCCATGAGGCCCTAGGCGGCTATAAAGCCGCCGTGTAGCGACGCTTACCGCCGGGGACAGCACCGCTGACTATACCCAGATTCGCTGACATCGGCGCTGACTCTGTGTTAGGTCAGCGGAGGCATTAGGACCCACCGGAAGCCGAGGACTCACGGACGGTCCCGCTATGGTGGAGGCGCTCACGGCGTGAGAAAAATTACCGCGTGACTCTTCGCTCCATGGGGGTGTGTGCGTGACCGTGAGCAGGTGTGACGTCACGTGCACGATGGTGCAATGACACGCGATTTATGCGTGCGTATGGTGCGCTATGGCTCAGAGTCTACACAAGAGCCATGGTTAATGTAATGTGTAATTCAAGGACGGCATCGGGTTTATGAACGCGCCAGAGGGAGAATTTGCAAAACCGATAGTCGCCGATGCTGATTATAGTTGGATCAGCATTGGTAAGAACACGGAATAGCCCAACTAGTTGTTGATTAATTGACTAGTCTGTACCCTTGCCTCATAGCTCACAGGGTGATCAGAGTATGCCTTGACCCCGCGTGACCTCGACCGGTGCCACAGCGGGTCCTTATGACAACATAGCACCTGCCTTTTCCACCACGGGTGTCGGGTCTCGTATGGTTTCTGGGAGATCCTTGGTATCGAATGTACCATTTGACACCTCTAGAATGTATCATGTTTGCGTTTGTAATTATTCGCCACTCCTATACATTCCAATGCCGTTTTTCGTGTCGTCTCTGCCACTCCAAACGGCCAGCGCCAACTCACTCCTACGAGGCCTTATAGCGCCCCATGCGCCGTTTCGCAAATACAGATTTCACAATCCGTAATGGCACAAACCTCGGGCAACCGCAGGCGATTCCATATTGGCACTTAAACTCGGCTTCAGCAGCTGGGAACGAAGTCAAATTAATTAACGAGACCATCCTTTACCGCCATTTTTGTGGACATCCTTTCCGCAATAATTTCCAAACGAGACCGTCCCGTTCACCTGGTGTGCGACAGGCGCTGATGCGACCGTACCCAAAGGGTCGTAATTGGCCGCGGACCACCAATAACGACCGATCATCAGGTGCGGGATCATCAGGTGCGGCAACGACCGAGATGCTGCCGTTAACGACCCAACGGCAGATCGCCTCATAAACCGGCAGCATGAGCTCCGGCGGTGCATAAACAGGTTAGGGAAATGCACGGCTCCGACCGATCCCTTGCTCTGCCTCTCTCTCTCTCTCTCTCTCTCTCTCTCTCTCTCTCTCTCTCTCTCTCTCTCTCTCTCTCTCTCTGTCTCTCTCTCTCTCTTTCTCTCTCTCTCTCTCTCTCTCTCTCTCTCTATCTCTCTCTCTCTCTCTCTATCTCTCTCTCTCTCTCTCGCTCTCGCTCTCTCTGTCCATCCCTCCCTGGCGGTCTCCTGCCCGATCCATCCATCCAGTGGGCGGCGTCTAACCGAACCGCAAACACCCGTGACCACAGCTAAGTTACTCAGACGTGACGACTAGCCGAACCGTCACACGCCGTGACGCAACTGGTCACCGCGCGTGACGCGGCCGCAGATGGGTTTGTTTTGATCCCACGGCACGTGTCCGCCGCGCCTGGTCCTGTCGGCACGTGCCACACAGTGCATCACGTGGTGGGCACACGAACGCACGTATCCGTCTATCTATTCTCCAGGGAGGTCAATGCATAGATTGGAAATTGATGAGTGCCTTGAAGCAGGGACTAGGGAGAGAAGTTACATCCAATTTATATTGCTTGCTTTTGCTTTCTGCATTTATTAGTTTCATTGCGCTAAACCTTTTAAGTACTTATGTTTTGTCCTCAGCAGCATTGTCATTAATGGCACTTCATTCAGACATTAACCGTGAATTGGTTTGGATAGTAATGAACTTCAACTCGGTTACAACTCAACCAATCGACTATGGATTTAGAGAGCGAGGGATCAACATTGGCTCGTGCCTGTGACTCCAATGTTAGCGCAGATCTGTTGGCGTATGTTCGCTGTCCCACTGCCCAGCCAGGTGTAACGGGCGTCGTGACCAGAATATATTCATTTATGCCGAGTCAGCATGACTATCTGTTCAGTTCCATCGCGCGCCGGTGCGCCAGTTCCTCTCACTTCTTCTCTCCTCTCTCTCCGTCTCCTCTCCCAGCTTACCTCTTCTCTCCTTTCATTTGCTCTCCTCTTGTCTCCAATCTCTCTCTCCCTCTCTATCCTCTCTCTCCTCCCTCCCTCCCTCCCTCCCTTCCTCCCTTTCTCACTCTTCTCTCTCTTTCTCTCTCTCTCTCTCTCCCTCTCTGTCTGTCTGTCTGTCTGTCTGTCTGTCTGTCTGTCTGTCTCTCTGTCTCTCTCCCTCTCTCTCTCTCTCTCTCTCTCTCCCTCCCTCTTCCCTCGTCTCCTGCTCATACCGCTCTTGTTGCTCCGCCCAGGCAGTCAATCTCGACTAGCCGTTAGGGCGGGAGGCGATGGGTTTCACCTCCCGATCAGACTGTTTTGGTCGTAACAGTAACGGCCGTAACACGCCGTAACACCACCACTTATCTATGAACCGACGACCGTAGGATTGCCACAGGGACTGGACGACCGCAGTTGCACCCAACTACACAACGCATAGTTTCTCAGACGGCACACGTGGTGACGTAAACAAACCAAACAGCAGCGTTTGTCAGAGCGGATAGCAGCGGTTAGAGTGACCTAGACTCACTGTTCGGGTGGGCAGCGGCCGAGCTTACAGATTCATGGGAACATACGCCAGATTATCAAAGGATCTCTCAGTAAAAACGCACTGATTGTGATTGATCAAAGTGATCGGTGTGACCGTTTCGTCGGAGGCGTGGTTCTGGGCGGAAAATGGGGTGGCCTAGATGGCATTCTGATTCCAATCATTCAATTATAGATTAAGTCGTCGTGCGCTTATGTTTACGTCAAGGTTCCTATTTTGGGCATCGTCTGGGTGCTGGTTGTGTCATATGCGTAAGTGTGCTGCGTGACTGAACTCAGTGAAAGGTAGCTCTCGACTCCGATTATTTTTTGGATAAGGCGATGTTTTTTGGTCGATGTTTTTTGAGTTGTAAGCAATGATAAACTACTAACAGCGGGAAACGCACCTTCAAATATGATGTTTATTTCTGTATCGTCTTACAGTAACATCGAGGCTGGCTGTCTATCGCTTCGCCTCTGTGGTTCACGGTAACAATAGCTGACCTGTGTGGACCGTGGGCTCTTCTCTTCGTTATGTCCCCTGCCTCTGGCGCTACCCTTCGTACCCTCCACATCAGCTCTTGTCTCCCTCTCACGTCATCTCTCTGACGATCCTTTGTCTCTGACGTTGCAGAGTATCGGTCACATCAGCGGATGCCACATCAACCCGGCGGTGACGATGGGCATGCTGGTGGCGCGTCAGGTCAGCCTCATGAGGGCCTTCTTCTACATTGTCGTCCAGTGCATCGGAGCCATCGTCGGCTCGGCGCTGCTCAAGGTAGGCCACCCGACACAGTCACGTCACAGCCACAGTCACAGTCACGACACAAGTGTTGCCGAAGTTTTGCTGCTTCTGATATTTGAAAGGCTTGGAGAGGCGAGGAAGAGGTAGAGAAAGCGTGGACTCATTATTAATGTTGCCATACTTTTGAACAATTATCTATGGGACTTTCAATATTTCAACCATCATTATAACTAGGAGACACAAACTTGGTCGTTGTAGCTGCATCGCAGACATGACGACATGTGGCAAGGAAATTTTCACTTTTAGGTCGGGATTTGAGTTCATAGATTCTCAAACGTCGTTTGGGCAATTATTACGTATACATACGCGTGCCGTGTTACCACGTGCGTTGCATCAAGCCTCCGGCATGAATGTTGTAATTATCACACGCTCAAATTACCCTACTCACGGCACTTCGTGTGGCTTATCACGCATTGCTGTCATCGTGTTTGGCCCGTGAGGCGTGCGTGACTGTTCGTGCCTTAGGGTAGTGAGCATAAGCCGTCCAGCCTAAAATTACTTTGCTGTCCAGCCCAGCCGGAGGCGTGATGCATCCTGTTGGGTGACAGCTCCGAAAACGTCCCCGTCAGGCGGCTGAGCTGGAACGACACGTCAGTCGCGGTGGTAATATCCCCGAACCGGATGGACCATTTACGCTGACGACTCAAGGATCCGCTTCCTGACTCGCGGCATTCACTAAAGTAATTGAGTTATTCGTCTCATGGTGTTGGTTTAGGGAATGTTTTTGACGAGATTGGAGCAGCGTCGCCGCTCGTTCTCTCCCCTCCAGTTTCTGATTTATTCTATTTATCTAGCCAAGACAGCTGTTTAGAGTTGATTTCCGACCCTCGTCATAATCGCATCGTCTCTGCCCTCACGCCAGCTCTCACAAAAGAAGTCATGAAGCAGCAATTGCGGAACATTCAATAGCTCACTGGATCTGTGAACCTAGCTCCTTATCTTCTCATCCCTCCACCATGACTCGGCAGAATTATAATTCCATCCTCGATCTGTCTTCAATTGCTCTCCCTCCCCCCCCCCGCTGCGCAGATCCGCTCCATTGTTTACCCTTCCCCACCCTTCGCAAGCAGCCCACTCCACCAAGCCACTCAACACGCGCACACTGACCCTGACCTTCCCGGTCCACTTTCGCTCTCTGGCCACGCCACGATCAGCCGGCGCGGCGCGAGACGATGAACGCGGCTGTTCCGCCTCGTTTGGGAGCTGGAGGAATCTTTGGATAGTCCACAGGTGCTAAGAATGAAGCTCCGAGCGACACATAGCTTCGGGTTCTCACAGAAGCTGGCAGGGCTGTGAGCGCCGCCGACAGAGTGGCGTGAGAAGCGAGCTAGCTGCCGCTGCTGCCGCCGGCGATCGTAAGGATCGTGAGACGTAATCATGGTGGCGGCGGCACCAATACGATATCGGCTGGGATTGGTGATATTTGTATGTGTTTCCAGTTGGAAGACATTATGCATCTTGGAAGGAATGTTTGAGGGGCCTACTGCCCATCAAATGGCTCGCCGTATTGGACCGGGGCCATGGTGTTTAGCTGTCTGATCTAACCTCAGACTTGGTCACGTCTCGCCGGTCTGACCTGACCGGATCACGTCCTAGCGGTCTGACCTGACCTCGGTGGTCTCCCAGCCCCTGCGCCCCGCTCTGATCCGGTCCCACGGTGTGCGCGTGCGTGGCCCTGCGCCGAGCGCCGCGGGCGGGCCACAATTGGCACAGGTGCGCCACTGACGCCCCCGGGCGCCAGCGGTTTCTCACGGCTGTTCCCGACCACCGGAGGCTATTTCTTTGTTTTGGGCGCCGGTCGGAGCGGGGCGAGGTCGGTTTTCTGCAGGTCATGTGTCGTGGTCTAGTGAGTCGATCACACGCTGCGCCAAGGGGAACCACAGTTTGACATAGGGCTTCACAGGGCGCCTGGCGAGCTCGGCACGACCGTTGGACGCACGGGTGACGTTGGGTCGGGTGCTTTTGTCCAGTCGGGGTGTGATGATTGTCGTGTCGCACCGGTGTGCGGTGCCGGTCATGGACTGCCGGCACCCCTCCCGTCCCCTCCCCTCCCCGGAGGTCACACCCGGGCCGGCACAATGGCGACCGCTGCCAGCTGTTGTCGGCTGGGATTGCGGGTCAAGGTGCACAGCGTTTGACCTACCTGAGGTGTGATTCAGCTCAACCGGCCGTGGGAATCGTACGCTGCAATTGGACTTGACAGCTCGTTTTGATCATGCTGACTGTGAAATGTTACGGGATATATTCAAGCGTATTTACGGTCCCGTTAGATCTTTCTTACATGCTATTTTCGAACCCATTTCGATTCAGCGACATTCACATATGTTTAATAATTTATAGCAGCTTAATCTAAAATTCAGATGGCCCTTTCAAGGCCGGCATAACTGTCACGAACTGCCACGCCGTTGTCAACATTTCGTGACCGAAACATTATGCGTGGATTACCACTGAGAGGTCACGCACCTTGCGCACAGAAACTCAAATTTACTCTCAGTCCAAGTCAGGCGTAATTAGCGGAGTGGTTCAGAGTTCGGTGGCAGCATTGCACTGTAGGCCGGCAGCCTGAAAAAGCGCTAGAAATTCCCCCAAACTGACTGTCCGCAATATGAACAAAATAGGTATCATTTAATCCCGAATTGATCGAAGAATACGATTCCGATGCTAGTTTTGCCCTAAGGTCAAAATTGAGGTCGTCAGTTGTCATCAAACACAAGACAATTTAGGCTCTCTATAGGCCACCACATTTACCGATTTTAACCCGCGCACCGACGGGGGGGGGCGGATATCCGCCCCCCCCTGAGGTTTTTCGCAAATAGCGGGAAAACCGCGGCGCGTAGCGCCGCGAAATTTGGTATGACTATAACCTCATCAATTTTACACATGGTGTGCAAGTTTGAACCTCCTACCTTTTAAGGTCAGGTCACCAGGTCACTTTGAATGACCCAACCTCAAGTCACTTTTTTGCAACTTTGTCACCGTGCCAGAGTTACAGTAGATGTCGGAGGCCTTTGAAACTCGCAGGATATTATTAGGTCATTAGTAGCTACAATTTGTATATCTCGGAATTTTGATATCGGTGACCTAAGGTCAGGTCAATTTCGCGACCTCCCCATTATAAGTCAATGGGGGAAAAATCAACTCCCTGTTTTTACCACTAAAACGGGTCGGAATGGCCCCATATACCATACATGACTTCATATACGATCAACCTTCACTACCTTGAGGTCTGTTTTGCTGTTAGGCAGCTGTGAGGTCATGTGACGTCATCAAAGGTCACCAAAGGTTTTTGGCCAATAACTCCGTACAGGAACAAGATACAGACGCGTGGATGGTCTCATTGTGTTCAGCTCGTCAAGACGCATCGAATGATATACATGATGACCTCGAGGTCACGTGACCTGAGGTCAACCTTTGACCTTGACCTTTCGAGGTCAACATATATATCATTCGATGCGGATTGACGAGAGGATCACGATGATGCCCTTAGTTTGTTCCTATCTTGACTAATTCGAAAGTTATTCGAGAAAAACTCTCTCCATATCTAGCGCCGCCATTTTGACTTTTTCGACCCCTGTGACGTCATCTTTGACCTGACCTGAAAATGACCTTAGCAAAAATTGTAGATCTTGGCCGTGCGTATCCGATGCCGTTTACCGCTTGTCGCTATCTTGCTTCGTTCTCGAGATCTCAGGGGGGGGCGGTCATCCGCCCCCCCCCGTCGGTACTAAGTTGGCGCAGACCCCCGTCGGTGCGCGGGTTAATGATGAACTTTAGTGGTAATTTTTTAGTTGACCAATCGTCGTTTTGAACGAAATTTGCTGTCAGACTAGTTCAGGGCACTGTTGTTCACTGTGCCAACATCATTCTGACATATTGCATCGCTTTTCTGCAAGATAAGCTAGCTGTTTGCAAGCAGCTGCAAGACGTAATTTAAAATCATATCCAATTTTTTAATTAGACTTTTATAAAAACGTTATTTCGGGCGGCTAAAAATGAACTTTTTATACTAGCCTCTGATTACTCATCTTTTGTTCCATATAGGTGCTTTGCTGCTTTTCCCTGCTACTTTTCGAGATATGCGCCAGTAAACCACATGATGTACGGGCAATTGTCACCTCGCCGCTCTACTGAAGGCCCGGCGCTCTTTAAAACGCTGGAAGTTGTGAAAAACAAACGCTTATAATCTAAATAAAATATATGTCCCTGAGCTCAGAATTGATCAACGCACACAATGCTGTCAACATTTCTGGGCCAAACTAAAAAATTCAGTCATTATTAACCCCTAAACACAAGTCAGTGATAATCAACAACAACTTGCTCTTTAGGTAGACTTGTTGAGAAATGTTATTTCGAGCCGCTAAAAATGGCCATGCCATACAAACCACCAATCATCTTTCTGTCATGCCCTACTCGCAATTTTTGCTAATGCCTGCTACTCTTCGAGGTCACGTGACCTCACCATTAAAAGTGAATGGGGAAATAAGGAAACTGTTGTTTTTGCGCATGGAATGATTTCAAACTATCTCAAGCACACGGAATCGTGATTTCGTGCACTCCTTGCAAGATCCGATGCTTTACTTTTGCATTTTTGACCTTCCGTGACGTCATTTATGACGTCACACCGGTCATAGGAGTTTCTCGTCAATAACTCATGATCAAATTGAGCCAGCGACTCGGGAAAGTCACCAATGGACTCGGGAAGACCTCCCGAATCGAATGATATGCGATACGACCTCCTTCGATTAAGTTCGTGGCCTGATGGGCTCTGAACTGACCTTGACTCGAGGTCAATACCTTAAGTTGACCTCACCCGAACAAAAAGTATACCATTCGACGCACCTGAGCCAGGCGAACACGATGGTGCCAAAATCGCTGCTCTGCGGCCATTTTTTGCGAAATTATTTGCCAAAAACAAAACTCTACCTTGGGCTTTTTGACTTCACCTCAGAGGTTACCGGTTGATCTTGGGCCTTAAAATCGGGTATCAATCGTTCCGCCTTGAAATGGCGCACACGCTTGTTTTTTCCGCGAGGCTCTAGCTCCATTAGGGGCGAAACGGCAAAAAGGGGTCGTACCAACCCTCCCCCCCCCCCCCTCGGCCGGCCGAGGGGGTGGGGGGTCCGACAATAGGTCCGGCGAGGGTTAAGCAGCCCCACTTCGTTTTTAGCATGTTTGCTTGTCACTGAGATCAACAACTCAATCACAAATAATTTCTAGCACTTTTCCGGACCCCCGGCCCAGTGTGCATTGTGAGGGAGAACTAAATGTCACGGCAAGAGGTCGGGTGATGTGTACTGTGCGGTGTAACCTATCAGTCGGACAAATTACTGAACTGATTTGTGATAACTAGGCAATTGTGTGGAGCAAAATTATACCTGAAATATGTATTGTTAATAACACCCAACTACATAGTTCTGGAGGTTTGTATAACTATTCTGATATCTGTTCAATCATGTCCAGTTCTACTGAAATCATTGACGGAGTGCTTGATAGCTTGTAAGAGGCGAGGCCATCTTTCTCGTGCAGTTTGATATGCTATGAAAATTGTTCTGTCTTTAAAACCCTTAATTAAGGCTCAGCACTCTCTCTCTGTAGATATGCAGTCGTCGACCATCAATGGCATCAATCTAAATAAAGCGCACATGAGCTTCAAGCGGCTGCGGGCTGGTATCTCATGCACATTTCGCTGCAGGCTCTCTTGCCACTGTCACTGAACTGATTGGTAACGATCAGGCAGAATTGTTTTTAAAAAAAAGATCGTGCCAGCTCGTGTGACGGGCTCGGACGTGTGTACTTCAGACAGACGGCGTTGCTGGCACGAGCAGAATGGCCGGAAGGCAGCGGAATAGCAGAAACTTTACTGTAGTTTAGCCAATAGGTCCCTTATCTAGACGTCTACGAATCTGGTGCAATTGACTGGCTGAGTTGAAGTAATAGAGTAAAATTAATTTGCTGTCGCAACTCTGTCATGAGCTAGTGTTGCGTCTAGCCAGCCCAAATATTTATGGATTCTAACCAATATACCATTTTTTTGTCCCTTGTGCCATTGTGACCTGAAGTTAAGAGAATCCTTTTGCTTGACATTGGACACGTAGCTTTATACAATTCTGTGATAATTTACGTATCGATGCTTTTTAACCCGCGCGGGGCTGGGGTCTCCAGCCGAACGCGCGGGGCTGGGGGGGGGGGTAAATTTTACCCCCCCCTGTTATCTCCCGAACTAATGGTCCGATTTGGAAAATTCAAACGCCAATCGAAAGCTCTCATCACGAACTACTAAAAACATGTACTTAATTAAAAGTTTGAGGTCAAGGTCAAGGTCAGGTCAAGGGTACAAATTGCAAGTTTCTACAGTATCGGCCTTGCACCGTAGTTGCCGAAGAATGGAGTCATGGACTGAGACTGATCGCCCAAAACGTGTTCTTAGGCTACCAAGACAATATTCGTGGCATACAATATCATTCAGAGGTCAGGTCAAGGTCAGGTCAGGTCAGGTCAGGTCACCAAAAAACAAAATATAGAAAAGGGCATGTGCGACACATGTTTTATGGGTCCTTTTACTCATAGAATTCAATAGGCACACTCAATAAGTGATATGGACCACCTCTGGATGAATTTTAGGTCGAGGTCAGGTCAAGGTCAGGTCAAGTGAGGTCAAATTTTGAAGTTGGTTGTTAAGGCCTAAAAAGGTGTCTATCTGATGCAGCTTTTCACGGCGAATCGAATGGTGCTATTTTTGTTTCCGTACGAGGTCTAGAACTTCCAAAAAAGTCATTTTTCAAAAAATTTGTGTGTCGTGACGTCATAAAATTTTGAATAACTCCCACATTTTTGAACCGATTCTTCTAAAATTTGGTATGTAGGTGCACATAGACCACTTCTGTGACATATATTCCGGTTTTTTCGATAGAATCAAAATTTTGGATTTTATAATGATTTTCCAAAAAAAATCAGTTTTTTGAAAAAATTTAGGCCAAAATCCAAAATTTTCAAAAACCGAAATAGCCATTTGATAGACAAAGTAAAATTACGTATAAACTTTTTTGTTACGTCTTGATTCCTTTAAAAATGAAGATGTTAGCGGCGTTTGAACTTTTGCCGTTTTTGAGGCGAAAATGGCGAACATGACGTCACTAAAACGTCAATTTCTCAAAAATTTTCCGACGGATTTCGCTCAAATTTTCAGGGAACGTGTCAAATTGATGTAAGAAAAGGTACTGAAAGTTTGGCGGCGCTGCGCGCCGCCGTTTTTGAGATATCGCAAAAATTCGCGAGGGGGGGTAAAATTTACCCCCCCCAGCCCCGCGCGGGCTAATTTACGCCGTAAACTGTGGCATTCCATTTGCGTGTTACACATCACATTCCTTCGTATTAGCGAGAAGTTTGACGTTCCATTCATCGATTTACATGGTAATTGCGACTTAATAACAAAACATGTCAACTGGTTTGGCTTCCATTGCTTCTTTTTGCAGTCCATTCTGTCTTTCAACTTTTTCCTTCCCTCTTTATGTTTCGCCACAACATGCCACAATTGACGTCATCGTAGGCCACATTACTGCCCATATGTATTGGCTGTTATGGGTAGGTAACCATAGAAGCTCCGTAGGTGGCTTTTCCGCAGGCCATATCATCCCCGACCTCGAGCTCCGATGCGAAAGCCTCTTATTGATGGTATAATGGTTATGGCCCCGAGCTATACTACGGCACGGTGCCGACAGATTGGGAAAAGACGCGGCGAAATCGCCAGCTAGCAGGAAACGAGATTGAATAAAGCGGGACAAGGCTGTAAAGTGAATTATGCCATCAGGAACCATTCACGGAAGAATGGGGTCATGATGCGTGTAACGTCGATTTATTGAATTCCGGTCGTTAATTTCAGTTTCATCCATATTTTGACCGAACCAGAGTAAGAGCAAACACTTCATTTACGAGGCCTCGCTATGATCTCAAATCAGTTCAGATTAGAGTTTAGGGCTTGATTGCGCTCAAGAGAGCAAGTGAGACCAGACAGTGGTTTTTGGGTAGCTGGTATGTCGCTACCCAAAACAAACCCGTTTACCCGTTTAACTACCTGACCTCCCCCTCTGCTTTCCCCAGGCTCTGACCCCGGAGGACGTACAGGGCTCTCTGGGAATGACCACCGTCAACCCCAAGCTGACGGCGTTCCAAGGCTTCGGCGTCGAGCTGTTCATCACGTTCGTGCTCGTGTTCGTCGTGTTCGGCGTGTGTGACGAGGGCCGTGATGACGTCAAGGGCTCGGCACCGCTGGCCATCGGTCTCTCCATCACCGGCTGCCACCTGGGAGCGGTGAGTTGGCAGCGCTGGGTGGTCACATATGGCAGCATTGAGGTCACTGGGCCGATCGGACCCTTTGGGTACCGAAAATAAGTGCATGTTTTTATCTCGTAGACATGCGCTCAACGCTAGATGTTTATCGAGGGAAGGTTTCTTTGTGGGACGCATCATCAGATGCAATATAATGTCTAGCCTCTTTATGCCCGTCGGTATAGCTCGTCAAATGCTACAAGAAAAAACAATGCTGGTTCTTTGTGGGAGAGAATGTTTGCAGATTGTGTGCTGTACCTGCTAGTGTTTTGCAACAGGCGGGGGGATAATAATCAATATCAGCAATAGGTATCACCTCAGTGCAACTAGATCCCCTCTCTGAAATGATCACCGCAACAAAATAGGGTCTCCGCCCAGGATTATTTCAAAGAGGTCTCCTCTGTTGTGGGGTGCACGGTTATTGGACCGTTCTATCAAGTCCTAGCTACAATAATTGGTTGTTTGAAGCGATATCTAATGCTGATATCGTTCGAAATCTCACAACATTTCATTAGCTAATTTACTTTGTCTCCATAACACGAACAATGAGGCTGTTGCAGGCCACACGGGTTGATTTTTAAATTGGCACAATAATAGCAGAAACTCATTTATGTCAATGGGCTTAAAGGGAAAACTAATCATTTAGTTGACTTGTCAAGCATATGAGTAAAATGATTCTGATTATAATGCAGACAACGCAAAAACTAATTCAGATTAAATAAAAACCGGGCGACAGCGTAGTCTCCAAATTATTTCAAAGCTATTTGTGCGAAGCTTCATGGGAGTTGAACCGATAAATTGTAATTGATGCATGCCGTGTTCTCTTTACAGCGGCATTCTTGTTGACAGTTACATAAGACCCATACCCTAATTGAAGCAATATCGAACGATTCCTGCAATACAAAACGTCACCCCATCAGCACAAATTGCCTCACATATACTCTACGTGATACAAATACAAAAATTCCGCGGTGACCTGACCCAGAGGGTCACGTTCCATCTGTCACGGAGTCGTGACCTGCCGAGTGAGTACGTGACCAGCGTGACGTGACGTGACGCAGCAACGTCCGTCACACGAGCGATGGAGACGTTGGTACTGGGTACCCACCCCTCCCTGGGGCTCCAGGGGGAGCTGTCCCCTCCCCTTTCCAGCCCCAGATGGGCTGTCTTACTCGGCCCCGGACCCGGGGTGGCTGTCCAGCGCCCACTCCATTCCCAGCCCTCGGATGGGACACTTGTCCTAAGAGGACGGCAAGACGGCTATCTCCTGTCCTTTCCAGCCTGTGGGTGACTTCACTGTCCCCCTCTTTTCCAGACTCTGGATAGCTGCCCCTCCCTTTCACAGCCCCAGGACGGCTGTCCCCTCCCTTCCCAGCTCTGGGTTGGCTGATCCCTCCCTCGCCGCCTGTTAGTGTGAGCTGTATAGGTTTGGGACGGAGCTGGCAGCCGGTGTAGTGGTGACAGCTATGTTAACCAAGTGTGTGGGAGTGAGAGGGAGGGGTTTGCCTGTCATCGCCGCACGTTAAGCTGCCAGCGCACCCACTGTGCGTGCTGCGATCACACATCTTTGTCGACACTGCGCCAATGCTCGTCAGAATAGCTGCACCAATGATTGCCACAATAGCCGCGCCACTGATTGTCATAACAGGGATACCAGACGGTGGTCGGGCAATGGATAGCTATACGCACATGCAGCAGTGAAAAAGGGCTCTAGGGCTGCATGTAACATATGTAATTGTACACCCTGGCTGCTTTGTGGGAAACTACAGAAATAAACTGAATGCAGTCACAGCACATGGAGCAAGGTCACTTCCATTGTTTGTAAACAATCAAACAATGCAAACAGCCATTCGGCACGCGCGAATGACCACAAAGCTCCGACGGAATGATTGCTTTGCTAAATAGACCATGGGCGTAGCTTGAGCCCTTATCTCTTGGTGGTACACTGCACCAAGAACACTGGACTGTCCAATGCTCGTGCATGGCCTGCCGATACATTATCCCACGCCGCCCCGGTTGGGAACATCGAGAACTCCACCCGTAATAGTGGGAGTCACTGATGATTAGCCGCCGTTAATCCAGCCAAAATGACGGCCTGAGTTTCCTCCAAAGTGTCCTCACACGAGGGATCTGCCGCTTCCAGCACCTTCCGACAGTGGTTCCACGAAAACGAACGCCTCGGGCTCCTCGGCGCCCATGGGACTGGTGGTCAGGGTGGGGCAAATACACGCGACGAAATGGGCTCGGTATGGGCTAGTTGCACGAAAATGGTCGGACGTCTGGTTTCAATGTGGCTGTTTCCGCCATTCTGTCAAGGTTGGGTGTATTATTTGGAGCGTTGCATAACGCGAATGCTTAGAATGGAGTTGTTGAACCCTATGTTGTCCAGATATGCCAGCAACTCTTCTACGGTATAGGCACTTGACATTAGACATTGGTCACAATGTTACCTACTGGTTTAATGGTCGCGATAACTTGATGGCTATGTTAAATTTGATTAGCATTTTCGTGTAGGTATACCTAATTCATTTATTTTTTCAACGCTATTTGCCTTCTCTCAGTCTAAAACTTGTGGGATACCATCGTTATATCCTGCATCGTTTGCCACTGCCGCCCGTAACCCGCTTTTTACCGTTGGCGGATCTGGGCATGTAGGTACCGGGCGGTGACATCGGCTGATAGTTGAAAGGGAGACGGAATGGAACCATTAGTCGAGCGGATAACGGTCTGCAGGAGAGACATTCACAGCAAACATTGCTAAACAATACGCGTGTACATGAACGAAGGTCACATGACTGGCATTGGAAGGCGTAATGTGTTTTGTGTGGGCATTTTGCTCACCGTTTTGCCAGCTATGTGGCGTGGATCCGTGTTATACAGCTGTGAATGACAGCGCACAAAGTTCGTCGTGTTACTGAGTGGGAATACTTCCGGTAGATCAGAAATTGGCGTTATTTCCATTTTTAGTCGGTTCAATATGAACACCAGGCTTCTTATCCATTGAAAGCATCTCTTCTTAATTTTTGAGTCATGAAGGTCAAGGGGTTCTTTTTTCATGCTCATTGGTAATGGTATGAACTGTTTTCATCTGTCGTGTAGACGGCATTAGACGGACCTGTGAAGAAAATAAAACCTATTCGAAATCGGTTTCCGAAGAAAAATGTAGGTATGACCGCAGCTATTGAATAGGGCTGGTAGATGTGGACCGGCGCGATTTTAATTCATCACTTCCCGATAATGCATCATCATTTTGACGCACAACCACCTGTAATTCGCCGTACCATTGCCATCGCAACCGCAGGACCAACCGAGGATATACACACCACCACTCATAAACTAGCTGACATAAATCAGCTGTCTTGCTTGACACGAATCAAATCCCGCCTAACCAGTCAGTAATTACTCCTCTTTTGTGGGGATGGCCACCGCCTGAGGTAGCGCACACTATCCTTCCCATCTGCTTCTCATGGCCAGTTTTTTTTTTGTAGTTCAATTACAGATTAATGGCTCGATCATGTTATCAATCACCGTAATTCTGCTGACCAGTCCACACGACACGCGTATGTGGAGGGAGGGGGGGAAGGGGGTTACAGGTTACCCAACACTACACTTCCCCTCCCTCCCAGTGTCTCATGTTCAGTGTGTTCAGCTAGTCCACCTACCAAGCCCACGTGCGCACATGTCCACCCATTCATCAGTATCGTATCTCCTTGACCAAATATTTCCCATGGGCTGGGACGCATTGCTGCATGTAGCGAGCCGTTGGATAGCGTAACTTTCAGTCCACCAATGTCAACAGGGCGGACATTTTCTAACCGCCCACCATTCAACATTGTCCTTCTATTGCGTCTCCCCATAACCTGTGTCAACGGTCTCCACCGTTCTCCGGCCCAACCGTGATTAATTTGTGTACCCACATACCTTCCAGTCGCCTTGAAGCGACAACTTTTGACGGGGGATTTTTTTCACTGGGGCGGCCGTAGTGATCTGACCTCTCCCTCTCCTCCCGTGTTTGCAGATCAAGTACACCGGCTCGTCCATGAACCCGGCCCGCACATTCGGGCCGGCTGTGGTGACCGGCATCTGGGCTAACCACTGGGTGAGTTGTAGTGTGGCGCACATGGGGAGACTACCGGCCAGCCCGCAGGGCTAACAGCCAGCGAATGTGATGATGGAACGCAGAAGAAAGGCGTCAGAGGCGGAGCTTGACGGTGGGCATTGATTTTTGTTTGAGGCGTATTTGCAGACGGTAACTTCATCAAGCATGCTTGATACTATGCATTTACTATTTGTTCAGGAAAAATCTTAGGTGCTCACACTATTGAATGCTAACAGTTTCTTTGTTGTTTTCTTTTGATAATTAGCTCTATCTTAAACATTAACAGCAATGAAGCTTGAAGATCAATTTTTCACCGTCGTTTGCTCATCTCTGGCGCCTTTCTCCAGCGCATCTTGGCCGCATGTGATGTCTCTGTCCATTGTGTTTTCCGAATTTTGAGATTGGCGTTATAGCGCAACCACATAAAACACCGGGAACGTTTACCGTTGACTGAACGCTGGAACAGCGTATAGTGTCGGGTGGAGCCTAAAAGACTGGGGCTTTTTACGAGACGCTCCTGCGTGAAAAGCATGCCGTTTTTTACCGTCATGGTATGCAATGGCGTTGTGGGAATTATGATCAAATTATCATCAAAACAATGAGTTTATTGCGGTTGTCGAGTTATAACGGTTCATTGAGGATATTTTATGCTATTATCCGTGACAGTTTTGTCAAATTAGGATCGAGTTAGCTGCCTGTCTACTCCAAAGACCGCCATTAAATGCATGCGTCCGATAATTTGAGAGTAATCTGTTATTATGAAGGGACGCCATTGCCGCTCATTTAATCATAAAAGTCTTACTATAAAAACACCCTGGCGCCCAAACTTTCAGTTTCTTCATCGCAGCCTGACCACCGGGTCGAAAACTGCCGTGATTTCTAGGTTAACGCTCTCGAAGTCAATCGGTTACCCCAATTGTAATTGTCCGGACACGCGTAACAGCGTGTGAAAAGTGCCTTTTGCTGAGGTCAGGTGTGATACGACACATCCGCTGTGTGGTGTAACTCCTTTGGCGGAGTGGGTGCGTGGGGGACGATTGTGAGGAGTGGGACGGCCGTGACCCATTCAGGCAAGAAGTGGGAGCCGGGCGGGTCTCCGCGCCGTCCTCGGGCTGAGTTTACTCACGGGGTGGGGTGTGACTGGAGGAGCCCGACCCTCCCTGCGCGCATACCTCGGACCGGCGCGTGCCTGGGCAACGCCGAGACGATGATAGGGTGGACGATGGGCCACGGAGGCAGATCAAACACGGGATACGCGGGTTGCAGTAAAGAAAAGCGAAATGTACATACAGATTGGGTAAAAATCGACCAAAACTAACTAGGAACTAACTGAGCATCGTAACATATTTAACCGCGCTTGCAGCAAGATGAGAGCCGCTGACAGCGTCTTGTGGAGCCTGCTGTCTGCTCTGCACGGTATGGCTCCAGCTTGCCCTCCGCTGTGAGCTGTGACCGGTCCCCGCCGGCTGGAACTGCCCCCGCAGCACGCGCTGGGCCCGCCTGACCCCCTGATGACGAGCAGTGCCGCCTTTCAGACCGCACTAGCCGCGTGTACATAGCAGGCTGTTGCGCTGGTCGCTTGGCGGCGCCCGGTTGATTGGCATGTTTGGTCTGGCCGAGGGCCGTGGAACGTCGTTGTGTATCCGTGATTTGTTACGGCTGTCGGCGGCGGCATTATACCCGTGGGGGGCCCCGTCTCTCCCCCGCCCCCGCTAGCAGCCGGCGCTACAGTCGACTAGCTGATAACGAGCGAACCGTCTAAAAACTATCAGATCAGCAGTGAAGCCTCATGCTCTACTGAGATACTTGTCTTCATTTGTCTATCCTCGAACGCTCTGTCTTCAAATGCCCTGTCTGTTTGGTGGTGGTAGTGCCTGTTATGTGTTCAAAAGACACACCGAAGTATAACTGCGCCGTTTCAGTTCGTAAACTTATAACGTCGCAGATGGGGGCGACGACTAAACATTTTGTTGGTTGCACTGCCAGTTTGATCCTGGTTTATGATATTTGTCCTTCTGTGTGTCTTTTGAAACAAGGTCTCTAGAGAATTTGTAGGTATGAAGTCGCTTCCAGTTATAGTTCGCACGGGGAAGCGTGTACAAATGTTCGCTATTTCCAAATGCTGTCCAAATGCGATGCTCAGCTGTTGATGCTATGCTTTCCGAATGCGAACCTTTAAAGCAACTCCATTATGAACTCGTTCTTTTTTTCTTTTTTTTTGTAGTGTCATGGACTCATGGTACTCCTTTTTTAAACGTTGTCGATTTTAAGGTATAAAACAGAGAGACCTGACTTAGGCATATAGTCACATGCCTTAGTCAGGCCTCTCTGGTCTAGCTCCCGCGCTTAACACACCCGCGAACCGTACCACCACAATACGAAAACTTTTTGCGGTAATATCCAGCTTACCCGTTCTGCTGAAATGTTTTTAGGGTTATTCTACCAATCGAATGCTAAGACATGTCCCGAGAACTGTTTTGTACGTGATATTGCTTTTCGGCGAACCAGGTATAATACTGAGGAAATTAGGTTATCAGAGCCCAAAATTATTAGCTTTTGTAAGTACTCATGTCTTGCCTACAGTTTTGACTGAAGACTACTTTACGCATGTATCCCATGGACTTCAAGAGTTATTTTCTGTCTACAACGGCACGGTTAGGTGCTTTTGAATATTGCATTAGTTTACACGTGTAGCGATTTAATATTACATCCTAGGCATAGCGCCTCTCCTACGATTCCATCGGAAACCATCACGTCACCAATTCTGCAGCGACAAAAGTACCATCTCGATTGATCAAATCAATTTCTTACACACCAACCGTCGCAATCCCACACCTATTTGACATCGATCCCCGTGTTATTCGTTCGTCTCCGATCAATGCCGTGCAATGTTGACTCCCGTATCCATCGAGTCTGTGATGGCGTCTCTACCGCCGTTGCGTGGCGTGTGTGTGTGTGTGCGGCAGGTGTACTGGGCGGGCCCTCTGGCCGGTGGCATCATCGCCGGCCTCGTCTATACGCATGCCTTCCGCGCCCGCCACATGGCTGTCGAGGCGGTCGAGTTGACCGAGGTGAAGCCACAGCGCGCCAGCAAATAGGCGCTGGCCGTGCAGGTACGATCTTCGGAGCGGCTGTGGAGGCGGGCGCCGGACTCCGGCCGCGCGCTGGCGGGTGTCCGTCGCTCTCCTTCTCTCGCGGCGCGCTGGTGTCCGCCGGTGTCTCGGCCGTCTGCATGGCACGCGGGGCTTCTGCACCAGTCGCGGCGCGCCAGACACGCAGCTGGGACTCAGCCGTGGGCGGAGGCGATCGTTAGCTCGTGGTGTTAGTGCATGGGCTCCCGTGTAAAAACACCCTCTTCTCTATACGAGGTGCTGTGTACGTTACTTGACAGGAAAGAGAAAGGCATACGTTACATACAAACTCTTCTGTATTATACTGTACAATTTTGCATGTTTTTCTTAACAAACTATTAACAGGAGTTGAACTCTAATGGATTTCCTGGTCTTCCGTCTTGCATGCGAGCTTCTTGAGCTTTTGCTTTTCTTGTCGCTTCTTCTGCTTTCTGTTATTCTGCCTTCACTCTGTTTTCTTACATACTATGATACAAAGTGACAATTAAAACTACATCACGGTTATACACTAAAATCAATGTTTTTGAATATTGCCCAGCGTTTGTCTGATTTAATTCTCAGTGCTCGTCTTTAGAGCCTGCACAGTGTAATGTAGTCATGATAAAGTTTATCGGCTATCGGTTTTATCTGCACGGTTTTAAATTCCCATCTATGTTCATTAGCTTTCATTGAACTGAGCGCTCGTAAAATATTTAACTTTTGCTCATTTGATCTGATATTTATGGACCAAGAATAACATTTTTTTGCTGCACTTTAGTAGTAATGTGTTGCGTACAAGTGTCAATGGATGCGTGTGTGATGAACTTCCTGGACATTAATCCCTCTAACTCGTTCTCTGCGTCTGGGCGTGCCGCGCAGGTTTACTGGCTGGGACCGATCTTCGGTGGGTGTCTGGCCGCCAAGATCTACAAGGACAGTTTCCTGGCCTGCAAGCTGGCGCCTCCTCTCCACAGCAGTGTGCGAGCCATCCGTGTGGAGGAGCCCGAGCCGGCCACTGTGGCTATGCCGCCGGAGAAGACGGTTCTCCTGGACGATGTGGATGGAAAGGTGGACGATTCGAAACCCTCCGACCCCGAGAGGACGACCGATATCTAGGCTGTCGCCGCGAGAGAGAATGGTGGGCGTTGGCGTGGGTTATTGGCATCGTCCTAAAAACGCATTTGTGGGACAGTGTTTGGCATGTTTACATATCTGGATGCTGAACAGTTGACGTTGAAGATCAGGCGAATTGCCAGATTGCTAGTTGCGTAAGGTACCATCGAGTGTGTCTATTTATTTGGAATCTTATTTGTAGGCAGTCGGTAGCTTGTTTATATATTTATCGTGGCGACTAACAACATCTAGCAAAATAATAACTTTTATAATTGGAATAAGAACACGTTACCCTTTACGAAATGAAACTTACATTCTGTCGTAAGAAGCACGTATATGCTTCCAAAGTAGCTTTTTCAGAGTCACGAGTTGACTTCTGCAATGTGCACAAACACCATATATGACTTATCAAATGTTCCGTGGAATGGCAGCTTCCACACTGACTTTTCAATAATCCGCTTTCTTGTGAATCCGGGTATCTTAACAGGCCGATGCAGCGCGTGCCTTAAGTAATGACAGAGAATGTGTAACATACTCTGAATTAAACGGTTTGAAAATGGTTCGGATGCGCCTTGTGCTGCTTTGTTCATTGTCGTGAGTGCTTTGTCGTGGTTTACCGCTATAAACCGAAATTTGAGCATTGTACACATTACGCCGAGAACAGAATTGTATGTAACCGCACTACACGAGTAGTAATTAGACACACAAAACTGAGCAGGCAGGTATTGTGGGCCTGGAGTGTGGGCGGCGGGGTATGCGGCTGGCTGGATGTGAATGTGGTGTCTTCAAGCATTGTGTGGTAGGACTAAATCGGCAAAGAAAACGGCTTTTATTGACGTAATTGTCTAGTAAATCCACTCGATGCTCACATTTACGGAGTATTTCGTCGCCTTTCTATGGAGTATTATATTCGGCTGGAATAGCTAAGCTCCTTGTGTTTGAATGCATATATCCAGTGAGTCTGAAGCTTTTGTGGGGTTAGACGCTAGTCCGGTCTCCTCGGGTCACACAACAATTCCAGGTGACTTTTGTTAGCTCCGCTAAGCTATGCTAGATAGAGTGCGTAGGGTATCGTGCGTATGAACTACGTAGGGTGGAGTGTGTGGTGGTTTTTTGTCTGGCCGGTCATGCTTTACAGTCTCTGGATAGGCTGTCGTGTGTTTAGTTTAACTTTGCTCGCGTGTACAGGCGTTTTTTGTTTGTGCAGCACTTTCTCCACCGGTCATGTTTGTATTGGCGAAACGCGTCTGTATTTAGGGATGTACAGAACTGCTGATTCCCTCGTGCATGCAGTGTTCGCGTTCAGGAAATACATGTATCCGTATAATACGAGATGTTTGTGGTGTGGTTTATGCGATTGCTGATTTCCACATGTTGTGGCCAGGACCTATGGCGAAAAAGGATGAAGGGGCTTCCGACAAACCCTCGAGAGAGGTATACCAACCACCCCATGCATTTGACTGCTTTTATTTCGACATTGGGGCTGCATAAACAGCCCACAAATATTTTCGCGCGAATGGGCTAGACAAACCGACTTGATGAGGTCATCTGTTAAAACATTCAGAAAGGTCAGGGTACACTTATCTCAGAGAATTTTCCAGTCCTTGGACCTTGGTCGTGTTACAGGAAGGGGTATAAACATCGTTTAGTAGGCCAAAAATAAATAACTCGTCGGAGGTGAAATTCGATATATGGAAAGGGCAAGGCACATAAAATATATTTTTCTCAATCATTTCTGGTTCTGGGGACAGAAAAACACTAGGTAAACAGAAGTCACCAAAATGAATAGTGCCGTGGTTATTATATTCTCTTCGCAAGATTACATAACCATGATATTTGGATAAGAAGACCGAAAATGAGTCGTTTAGCGTAAAAGTATGGCGGCGTAGGCACGGCGGTGCGACGACTTTCGACATAGGCGGCGGAACGGGGAGGGCACCGGGTCACTGTGCTTGTCTTTGATTTGGACATTTTAACATTAGCCCTATGGGCGTTACATGGAAAGAATGGGACCAAAAGTTGGCAGTGCCCCCCCCCCCCCCTAATTGAAGGCAGGGGCGGATCCAGGAAAACTCCAAGGGGAGGGTCATGAATCGAAGTTGTGCCCCTACCTATACCCAAAATTAAAAACTCAACGGATTTCGTCCACTTCATTTTGGTGGTGCCCCCATTTTTATTTTTTTTTAGTTTTATTTTTTATTTTTAGTCAGTATCTTAACTCTTAGCCACAACCACATTTACCAATTGTAAGCAAGTATATATGAATGTGCTATGTGTATATATGTTGTGGACGCTGAGTAGTGAGTACTTACCAGGAACGTGATCGTTGTCAGTCCGACGAACTTGACCCTGGCGTCTAAAGGGTCTGTCCTTGACACTTCAGGCTTGTCAGGGGCACCAAAGTCCTTCCAGGGACACCACAAACCTGTCAGGGGCACCTACGGGCTTGTAGGGGCGCCACAGGCCCGCCAGGGGCACCACAGGCCTGCCAGGAAGCAGGGGCACCACAGGTCTAGCAAGTATACACGACAGGCCTGTCAGGGGCACAACGGGCCTGTTGGGCCCATGAGCACCCCTAGGGGCAGGGGCACCACAGTCCTTCCAGGGGCACCGCAGGCCTGTGAGGGGCACCAGCGGCCTAGCAGGGGCACCAGTCAACACAGGCCTGCCAGGGGCATCACAGACCTGCCAGGGGCACCAGAGGCCTGCCAGGAGCACCACCGACCTCGCAGGGGTAACTTGGGCCTGTCAGGGCCCAGGGACACCACGGGCCTGTCGAGAGGCACTTCAGGGTTTTCAGGGGCACCATAGTCCTCTCCGGGCGCAGGGGTAGCAGGGGCACCAGAGGCCTGCCAGGGGCACTACAGGCCTAGCAAGGGCACCACTGGTCTATCAGGGGCACCACGAGCCTGTCATAGCCAGGCATCTCAGGCTTGTCAAGGCCCAGGGGCACCACAGGTCTGTGAGGGGCACCAGCGACCTAGCAGGGGCACCAGTCAACACAGGTCTGCCAGGGGCGCCACAGACCTGCCAGGGGCACCACAGACCTGCCAGGGGCACCAGAGGTCTGCCAGGGGCACCACCGGCCTTGCAGGGGCACCTTGGGCCTGTCAGGGGCACCACGGGCTTGCCGAGGGGCACTTCAGACTTTTCAGGGGCACCAGTCCTCTCCGGGCGCAGGGGTACCAGCGGCCTAGCAAGGGTACCAGAGGCCTGCCAGGGGCACCAGCGGCCTAGCAAGGGCACCAGAGGCCTGCCAGGGGCATCACAGGCCTAACAAGGGCACCACGGGCCTGTCAGGGGCACCTCAGGCTTGTCAGGGCCCAGGGACACCACAGTCCTTCCAAGGGCACCGCAAGCCTGTCAGGGGCACCAGAGGCCTGCCAGAGGCACCACAGGCCTAGCAAGGGCACCACTGGCCTGTCAGGGGCACCTCAGGCTTGTCAGGGCCCAGGGGCATCACAGTCCTTCCAGGGGCATTACAAGCCTGTCAGGGGCACCAGAGGCCTAGCAAGAGCACCACAGGCCTGCCATGGACACCACAGGCCTGCCAGGGGCACCACCGGCCTTACAGGGGCGCCTCAGGCCTGTCAGGGGCACCACGTGCCTGCCGGGGACACTTCAGGCTTGTCAGGGACGTTACAGTCCTGTCAGGGCCCAGGGGCACCAGGCCGGCGTGGTGTCCCTGCTAGGCCTGTGGTGCCCCTGGCGGTCCTGTGGTGCCCCTGTCAGGACTGTGATACCCCTGATAGGCCGGTGGTGCCCCTGGCAGGTCGTTGGGCCCCCGGGCCTCAAGGGGGGGCATGACCCATGTGACCCCCCCCCTTGGATCCGCCACTGATTGAAGGTGTTCCGCCGCCAGCGACGACCACAGACTGACAGACACACAGACCACAGTGGGAGGCAGTGTCTCAGCTCTCATGTAGCATCACGAATCGGGTCACGTCCTACCTACCATGCAATGGGAAGAGTGCTGTATATACATACATAGGCGTACTTGAACATTCTATGTAAACTGGGGCTACCATGCCAACTGTATAGGTTTTGGTCAGTGCCGGTCACTTTTAAGAAACCGGTCGGTGAATAGACAGATTGTTATATTTTCAAGAATACCATAAACGAATTCTTCATATGCGATTTCATATTCAAAGAATTAAAAAAACTCAGTTTCATTCACGTTTTCATATTTAATTTGCATTTATAAAAATCGCAACTAGCAGACAACCGAAAACGACGGCCATGCTGGCTGTGACGTCACGATTCGTATGCGCGCGCAGCGTTCCCGGACGGCGGCACTGAGGACGCGTATTGGGCCGTAGATACGGCCTTGGGCCGTAGTAATCTTTGTGGTAATTCGCAATTTGCATCGTCTTTATTGTGACTTCGACATATTCATCCATTCCTGGGAGAGCTGAACTGTTTTTATCATGTTTAAACCTTGCATTGTAGGAACTGCCTTACTTTTTAAGCCTCTTCCCACCCAACTGGCAGGATGTGCGGAGGGGGCTGACAGCTTTTTTTTTTTTTTTCTACGCCGCCACCCATGAATAGGTGACCAGGAGTGCGCCCTCCCTCTATCCCAGCGACACACAGAACCTTACGTTAACACCAGACCAAACTTAATATGACAAGTCGCGGCACTCCCTGCTAAGAGTAAGGAAAAAAACAAAAGAAAGCAAATAGCTGTGGAGTGAGCATGCTGTTAATATGTTAACATAAGAGAAGCAAAGTGGTCACAACTGCAAACAGTTAGTGACTGCCCTCCTACACCCCTGAAACGCCCACAGATATACACTCATACAGGGTAATGTTAGTGGGAGGAAGGTGATAGAGGGGGAGCAGTCATACAAATAAAGTGGATGGTTGAAGGTGATCTTTCTGGTCAAATTCGAGCAGGATCAGTTACTGAACCCCTGCAGGGCCGTCCAACTAAGCAAGGCTTGTTGTCGGACAGCCCACAGAGGCCAGTTCCGAGGTGACAAGTGTAGAAATAAAATTTAATTAAAATAAATAAGTCAACAGAACACAATCGGGAGGTAATGTCAAGAAACGCCAAGAACGAAAGACAAAATGTAAAATAAAAATAAAAATAAGATAAATTTAATCAAAATCAAATTAAGTTTAAATCAAGTCAAAAAGAAAGAAAGAAAGAAAGAAAGAAAGAAAGAAATCAGAAATAGGAGGTAACGGGTAATAGAACTACCCAATAACCAAGATGATTTTCAATTACATTATCACACGAGGCATATCATCATGCAAACTGAATTGAATGAATCAATGATACTGGTTAAGAAAGAAACTTTTGGAGAGCTTTTTAATAACTGATTTCGAAGCTGGTACTGTAGAAAGTCTGGGAAATAAAGGCACCATAATTTTGTTCCAGACTCTGGGCCCGGCCCACGATAAAGTATGCGTTTTGTATACTTTGTATGTAAATGATTCATAGAAATGTTTAAAGGGACCATCCCACCTTAACATTAGTTTTGAGTTGAGATAGCCAAGTTTGCGGCCAGGCTCAGAAACCACCATTTATCCTGGTCGCAACCCCCGCAGCTTTATGGTGTTCAAGAAATTTCTTCCCTTTACTTGCAGGGTGGGACCAGCTTAGTCCCTATCTCTTAACCATTAGCGGTTTTTTGATGACGTCAGCAGTCATTTCAACGCCCGCCATTCCTTGAACCCGAGTTTTGCCGACCTTGAGCTCCCTTTTTTATCAACGTGAAATCCGTCGTCGGCGCTGAGAAAGCCTATTGCTTTTCATTTTAATTTGAATATTAGAAGATACCCACCACTGGAACTTGGACTGATATTATACCAAGGCCGAAGATGATCAAGCTGCCTGCTATATCTGGAGCTTGGTGTTCAACTTCAACATGGAATAAAAAACAAAATATCAAAGCAAACTGGATATGGTACTGCAAGTTAAAGTCCAAAGAAATTTGAAGAGCTGACAATTGACATTAATTCTTTTCCTGCAAGGTTTCCATATGGAGATCACAGTCACACCATGAAGAAATATTTTTGATGTTTACAGTTGAAAGGGGATTTATATTCCAGTTTTGACGAAAGACGCTGCTGACTGTCTTTGGAAAAGGATGTCGGCATGAGGTGCAATTGTGCTTGTGAAGTGGTTATAACTGGTCTTTTCACAGTATTAAATTAAATGTGCCATTGCAGCCAAGTGTGTTATCATGTAAGGTAAAATCAAAACTACAATGTTGGTTTTACGAGCATTGAGAAGGCTGGTAGGTAACACCTGCCTGTGCTCGTAAATCATGCTGCCAGCCAGAGTATTCTAAATTAATTTTATCATACACTTTTGTTGTC